CCCCCCCTTCTCTTTTTCTCTCTGCCAACCGATCGATGTGGCAACTGTGGTCACATCGGGGAGGACCCGTAGTGGTGGAATTTGTGCTGGTGGAAGGGCATGCACAGGTTCTTGACTTGTCAAAGATGTGTAGACAAAGGCACCTTGGGAATGTGAAATCTTCAGACAGAGTATTTGGCCTGATACAGTGAATATTTAAGTTCCTGGAAGCCTGGACTGGTGGAGGTGAGACTCCAGCTTGGGAGCATCCAGGCAGCTGCTGGAATAAGCTGGATGAGCTTCAAGTTCTTTGTTCTCTGGGAGTTTTGGTCCTTGATGCTCTGGAGGAAGGATCTTAAGTCAGGCCCCTACCAGACACAGGAGGAATTGGCCCTCAGCCTTCTGGTTCTCAGCAGAGAACTCCGGCCTCTGGCCATGAGGCCTCCCTGTCACTGCCAGTGGTGCAGCTGAGCCATGAGAAGAATTAAAGGAATATACATGTTTGTACTGGCAGGATCTAGACTGGCTGTGTGTAAATAAAGGAGGCCCTGTGAGAAGATGGAGCTGTGTTCATGAACTAAGCCAGGAGGTATCTGCAGGCGGGGCTGGTGGTAGCTAATGGCATGTTATTTCCTGAGACATTTCTCAGTTCAGTAAGGTTAGAATGCTTGTTCCCCTTGCAACATGGTAAATGTGCAGAGTCAAATCACCCAGTAACTCTGCCTCAGGCAGCAGAGTGAGAAAGGCCAGAGCTGTGACTCCACTGTGTCATACACCCTGGAGACTCCCTGCTGCATAGGGCGGAGCACTGAATGTCACCTTTTTTTTACTACTACTGGCTAGAAGAGGCCTGTGTGTTACAAGACCTCAGTTCTTTCCTGACAGTCTGATCTTAGGCAAGGCTCTTTCACACTCCCTGCCTCAGTTTCCCCCTCTGGAGAATGGGTCTAACAATACTAATCTTCTCCCATAGGGGAGAGAAGAGTTCCTTACAGGCTATAGAGTGCCTGGAGACCAGAAGGAGGACTGTGGCACAGATGTCCACATTAGGAGGTTGTTGCTGACTCCAGGTTACAGTCAGTCAGTGACTCCTGGCATACACTGCCCCACCAGCTAGCAAATCAGCATACACTACCTACAGGTAAAATGGAGCAGAACACTGAAAGAACAGGAAGGAGGCAGTTTCCCTTTGGCTGTGAAAGGTCCCCCAGATCCCATCTTACCTCTATCTTGGGCCTGATCTCCCATCTCATTCTTCTCTGGCCAACATGGAGCACAGGCAGTGGGGACTGGACTCAGACCAGGTGCAGCAGCAGTTCTTTGAGGAGGTTTTCCAGCAGGAGGTGGATTTCTTCTTCCCTGGGTCCCACCTGCAAATAGAGCACAGGAGATGTAAGTGCTGGGGAGGAAGGTATCTGTGCTGGGCCTAGAGCAGTGATGAGGGGGAGGGGTGCAGATAATCCAGTGAGTGCCACCATACTCAGTGCTGCAGGGAGAGAACAGTGGTTCTGGCGCTGAGGAGTTCCCAGTCCAAACAGCCTTGGGGGGAAGGAGGCTGATGGCTCAAGTCGCACACAAGGAGGGGGTCAGAGTACCATGTTCAGGATTGTCAGCACACATGTTGTGAACAGCACAGAGTCAAATGCCCAGGTACCTTGGGCACAGAAGCAGAATTCTTCCCCATACCTCCTACTGGTGAAATAGAGCTAAGCTTTCAACCCTGACAGCTTGTCACCCTCAGGGCTCTTCCCCCTCCTTCAACCAGCATTTCAGTCATGGTGCTGCCCATGCCCCAAGTCTTTCCTGGTTCCAGCAGGCAAGATAACAAGGCATACCACAGTGTCTTCTCTGACACTGTGCTGGGAGGAGTTCACCCTGCAAGTGCCTGACATGGCTGAGATCAAGTCGCAGACCTCATCCCCATCCTCTACCTCCACAGACCTGAACAGCTGGGACACCAGTGAGGAAGAGGCTGAGACCCCAGTGGTGCAATCGGATGAGGAGGACCTGCAGGGACTGGGTACAGCTGACTCCAGGAGGATAGCCCTCAACAGCAGGTGGCCAGAAGCTACCAGCAAGTTCCCTGCTCTCTCTTTGCCCTGCCACTGCATGGACCTGCCAGCATGAGAGGGAGGAAGGCTGCTGGCTGTTTGATTCTTGCTCTGGAAACCCTGAGTAGTGTCCCGCTCCTGAGCTGCTGCCCCCAAGGAATGGAGATGACCTCCCCTCCCCATTCTGATTCAGCCAGGGGAGCAGAAGAGGAGCTCAGAAGCAGAGGGATATCGTAGGCTCCAGCAATTAATTATTCAGGCTTCACTGCTAATACTCCTGCTTCACTCACCCAAGCTAAAAAGCGAGTCCTGGCCACAGCTGTACCCAGTCCCTGCAAGCCTCCTCACTGTACCTTAGTCTCCCCTAGCCTGTCTAGACAAATGTTTAACAGCAGCCTACAGAGAAATAACACTCCTGTCAAACAAGCAATCAGGGTGTGTGTGTTATTGAAAGAAAGTAATGGGGATAGGGGCATGAGGCCTTTAGCATTGGTTGGTCTCAGAAGGAGCCAAAGGAAGAGCCAAGTGAGGCAGGGTTGAAGTGCACATTACCAGTCTGCAAAGGCAAACCTCCCTAGGAGATGAGCTCACATTTCAGACCCTAAAGCAATTCAGACCTAGTTCCCAGCCCAGACTCCTGCCCAACCTGAAAACAGACAGAACAATCTCCTTAGCCATCTATAACATGTGATGTGGCAAATCAACACCCCATTGAAACAATGCTGGTGGTAATACTGAGGGGCCTTGTGGTGCTCTGAATTTTTCCCATTGCAGGTACCATAGTTTCAGACTAAGAACAGACCTGACCTAACACTGAGTCCACAGGAACAAGTGATCCCAAATGTGTGCCAGTGCCTTTCCCACGGATTATTAGCCTGCCCCTGATTCTGGCTCTCATTAGCAAGTGCATAGGGTTACCATATTTCCAGTTCCAAAAAAAAAAGACACCTGTCAGGGGGACACCTCAGTCCAACCCAGAGCCCCCCACCCCTGCTGGTAACCCTTTCCCAACAGACAGTCCCTCGCCCCCTGGCTATGCTGGTCACCCTTAGTCCCAACCTGCAATCCCCTGGCCCTGTCAGTGACCCTCGTTCCTGACCCACAGTTCCCCACCCCTGCGGCCATGCTTCTGCCCCTCACTCCTGACCCACAGCCTGCCATCCTTGATGGTACCCCTCACTCCCGACTGTCCCCAAACCCCATCCCTCCAACCCTACTCCCCATACACTTACCTGCATCCAGCTGCCAAGCCTGGTCCCACCCCCCTGCCTGGTTGCACGCTGGCCATGTATGCCCCATTCCCTCCAATCACCCTCCCCCTGCTCCCACCAACAGATCAGAGCAAAATCCCAGACGATTGTTCAGATTTCAAAAAAATGTCCAGATGGAAATCGGAGGACCCAAAAAGAGGACATGTCTAGGAAAACCCAGACGTATGGTAACCCTACAAACGCAGCAACAGCAG